TTCTTTACTAATAGAAAATATGGTAGGAAAGTAGGGAAGGTTTTCGCTTTATTTTTACATTTTTCGATCTTTTTCGTCGCGCTGTGATGACGTCACAGCGCGCTTTTGTCGAGCGCGATTTTGTCCTACGCGCTTTTGTGGTGGAACCCATAGCACTACCTACAATGTCTTAAAGCAGCTGAATTTTGTTTTCTGAGCTGTTGTCTTCCAAAGTTGTTGGGTGGTCATAAGAAAAGACTATGAATACATAGACAGAATCATGTTTTTTCCCCTTTCAAATCTTCTTCCCAGCCCTGCTTTATGTGTAAATAAATTCCAGAAACTAAAAAAAGATCTCTGAATTGGCATGCCTAGAACCATGCTGTTAAGTTTCTTTTAACAGCATTCTTCAGTTTTGTTTTTTTGTGTGTCTTACCTGATTTATCCTGCAACCAACACCTTTGTTCAATTAATGTCAGGTTAATTATCTGGCAAGGAAGTCTCTTCTTTATGGTTTCTGTTATCCATATGACAGTACTTTTCTCCACTTTAAATACAGCTGACTTCTTGAAAAAGGAAACTCGGTACTGTGCTGAGCCATCACTGGCATCATGATGAGTTCACTGGAGAAGTACTTCTGCATTTGTCATCTTCCTTTGGCTTTTAGATTCAGAGTTCTTAAATATGGTTTTTTTTGGAATACTAAAGAAATGTTGTTGCTTTTGATAGCAACTGTAACTACGGAGCTAACTGCTTTTGGTGCTCTAAAACATAGGTGAAGTAGTTTGTCCTTAAGATTAGTTTATCTGTAGCCACTCCCATTTGAAGGACACAGGATACAAAGACTCCAGCCTCCCTCAACTTCCTTCCTTTACTGTTTTCCATGGAAGAGTTTGGGGGAATTAATAAACAGGATTTAAAAAAAAAAAACCAAACGTAAATGATAACTGCATTAGTCAGAGGAAGCAACAATTGAACCATCAATGTTTATATTTATTGCATCACGGCTTTGATATTAGAAAAATAATATAATTCTGATCTTGCTGGCTGCTAAATTTCCCAACAGTTTTAGTGTGCAGACATGTAAAA